ACAAGAAACACAGGGGAGTGGTCAATATGCAAAATTTTTTGCAAAATTTTAAATAACCTGATGTGTAATTAAGAAAAACTAAAATTTCTTTTGACGGGTTACATGCAAAAATTTTACAAACATTTTTTTGTAAAATCTTATCAAAATCCGACAACTTAAAGTGGGTATAATAAAGATTTAGTTTGGTACAGGAAAAAGTCGTCATTCAGGTTGTGGGCCTAATGACTCAGGCAGTTAGTATAAAAGCCCAGCTTTAGACTTTTATAGAGAGGGCTATGCGTATTTAAGAAAAGTCAGAAAATTTCAACAGCCTCAGACCAATAGTTTTTGACTACAGGGGGAGGTCAAATTTACCCCCCCCCCCCAACAGCAGGAATAGGGTTAATTATGTGGAATATAATGTCGTTTAACTGGCTACATTTCCATAAAAAAATAACTATAAATATATCCATGAAAGTATTAATATAAAAGAATATAAATATCTCTGTGAAAATATAAATATTAATATCTCCATTAAAATATAAATATAAATGCCTCCATAAACATATAAATAAAAATATCTCCATGAAAATATAAATACGAATACCTCCATAACCATAAAAATAAAAATATCTCCATGAAAATATGAATATATATACCTTCATGAACATAAAAATAAAAATGTATACATGAAAATATAAATATAAGATATTTTCATGAAAATGAAATTAAAATATTGCTGACATCGGCAAATTGACTAAATTTCAGGGGAGGATTCATTCAAAAAAATAAATTAAAAATGAATAAAAAAGCAGAGATTACATGATAATAAAAACTAAAAAAAATATTTTTTTAAATACCCCCCCCCCCCTCCGGAACTGGCCGTTCCTTTTGCGAATATTCTTTGGGTTTCTCAGTCTTTCGATCATACGTGCCGTGATTTTGATCAATTTATCCAAACATAAAACAGCTGAATCTCATCCTAGTTGAATTTACAAAAGAAGGGAGAGGGGCTTTGGGGGCTAAACCATGCAGCTTGTAAAGTAAAAAAAAACAGTTTGGTTCTGATGGTAAACATGTTAGATTCTAATATGACGTAAAATTTACTTTATTTTGGCATGAGTTCTGTTAAATTTTAGCAAATCTAATTGAAATAAGATATATTATTAACTTTTCTAAAAGAACATATAAGGGGGTTATTACATGCTTTATTACGAAGTAAGATATAATTTGATTGTTTTCAAGAATAATTTATCTATTATAAAATTAAAACATTTGTGAATTTGGAGCAAATTAAAATATATTTTACATCATAATATTTTCAATAAAGGCATCAAATAAATCATAAAATAATTGGTATGATACAGGGTGTCCCAAAAAACATGGGAATTCAGTGACGAATTCGATATCGTCTTTTTAAATAATTCTTTGATTTAGTATAGTGATACCAACTGAGAAAGCTTTAATCTGTAAGAGTTTCGTCTGCTATGTTTACATTTTGTTTGTTTATGTTTTGACTGCATACGGTTGTACTTAGTAAAACAAGAAAATTGCAGTATACAAACAGAGTAAACTTGTCAGTCTTCACTGTTCATCTTGCAGAGACATTATAGACACATCTTTACAGTCTTTTACCCTTTTCATAAAATAAACTCTAGCAGACATAATAATATTATGGCTTTTGAAATTAGGTATTACAATGCTAATTCATAGCAAAGACGATATACTATTCGTCACTGAATTCCCATGTTTTTTGGGACACCCTGTATTTTCATTTTTTGAATGAGATGTTTCTTACATTTGTTCCAATAATATAATAAATTATATTATTATCTTTTATAATTTGTTTTAACATAATCTAAGAGACTAGCATTATTTAGTACTTAGGAACCCAGCTTTGCCTGGAAATTAAACATTCCCTATATTGCAAACCCACTTAACTTACTCTTTAAAACAAAGCTAAGAATATTTCCTATATGAGGCAAATCGGTCAAGGGGTTCATGAGTTAATATCGGACAAACAAACAAATAAACAGAGTTTTCTACTTTATGTAAGATAAAGATAATGTATCTATAAATCTTGCTAAATAAAGTTTCTTCTTTAACGATAAATGTATGATGGCAAATTCTTAATGTTAGAAGTCACTAAATTATCGCTGACTGTCCCTTTAACACTTTACCCCTCCCCACCCCGGGGCCATTTTGCTTTAATCCTCCTCTTTCTGATATATTTTCTTCATTGTATCCTTGAGGCTTGAATGGCCTGAAAATGAGGTCTAGGAATCTCTGCCTGACTGCTTCAATTTATCTAATACTTCTATTTCCTTTCTTTTCAACCGACTTTCTTTAATTCGGTGAAAAGCTTAATTTCTTCAATACAATCTCCAATCTTATATTCACTATCCAAAACTCAAATTTTGGATTTTTAACAAGAAACACAGCAATTGAACACTGCCCCTCCTCCCATGAGTTTTCCCTTAGAGTTGAGATATGTCCATAGACAAACTTTTCAAGGCCTGCTTTTTAAACAAAATTATACCTCTATCTTAATTTGTTTATATATATGATGCAATTTAAACGACGAATAGTTGCCCGCCAGGTGTCTCTGCTCTCGATGTTTCTGCATGGTTCCACATGGGAGAGACACCTAGCGGACAAAAATTCGTCGATTTAAGTAATTTCTGAATGATTTGTTTGGAATAAAATACATTTTTTAAGATCCGAGTCGAATATTGCAACTTTCTGAATTTGTATGGACGCTACATTCTTCGGTATGAGTCGTGTTCAACCATTTTCTCCTTTTAGACGCAACAGCTGAAGTTGGATTAATAGCAATCACCATCATTTCTTGAGAACACTCTCTTTAATCTAGATTTATTTCAGATCAGATATTCACTATATGCAAATAATCATATTTTTTTCTATCTGGACTTTTTTGGTGAAAAATAAATTAATAATAAATAATGGCTCTCAAGCAGAATAAAACAGAAGGAAAGTCTACAGAAAACGAAGGGAAAAAAGGAGAAACAGGAGGAGAAAGACGAGAAAACAAAAGAGAAAGAGGAGAAAACAGAGGAGAAGGAGGAGAAGGAGAACTACTAGAGCTCAGCATGGACACATGGTTAACTGTTTGTAAGGAAGATGAATTACCCCAGGTTTGCCTCAAACTCAATATTTTAAAAATTTGTAAATCTTTGTAACCTGATGATCTAAATCTTTTGTATTTCAATCTTTGAATATTTGATCCAACATAGTTCATAGTTTAAAATATCTAAGGTCTACGGCATTAGCATGCAAAGAAGAGAGATTTGAAAATCAAAGATTGTGACAAAGACTCAGTTCTTTTAAAGATATTCTTAATAATAAAACAAGAGTTTGAAGTACAAGTGTGACGTCCTAATAGGCACGTTTTTTTAGCTCTGATACGTTCTCATGATCGTTCGCTTTTAACTTAACTAACTAACATTATCCAACCATCAATGTTGGCTAGTTGTTGATGTTGTTAACGGTGGTATGCTGTTGAATTATGATTTTTGGTCGGTAACGGTGGTATGCTATTGAATTATAATTTTTGGTCGTTAACGGTGATAAATTGTTGAATTATGATTTTTGGTCGTTAAAGGTGGTATATTGTTGAATTATGATTTTTCGTTGTTAACGGTGGTATATTGCTGAATAATGATTTCTGGTCGTTAACGGTGGTATATTTTGAATAATAATTTTTGGTCGTTAACGGTGGTATATTGTTGAATGATGATTTTTGGTCGTTAACGGTGGTATATTGTTAAATAATGATTTTTGGTCGTTAACGGTGGTATATTGATGACAGATTATTGATAAATACAGAGACAGTGATATCTTTACAATTTATTTTAAGTTTTTATTTATTTTTTATTTTTCTTTGACAATCTAATTGTTTGATATTTCCCAAGAGTCGTCCCTAAATTTTGCCTGAATACAAAAATTATTTTCCAACGGAATAGAGTCTTTGGAACAAAATCAAATATTTAAACCACAATATCTTTAGAACTCGATGTTGTAAACCTTTAGTATTTTAAACTCAGATTACTTGATCTAACAGAATTCATAGTTTGAAATATGCAACATTTGGTTCCAAATATATAGTGATTTGAAAATTAGAGTTTGTGGCAAAGACTCAATTCCTTTGTTTGAATTTTCCTGAGAATCCTAGAAAAGTCAGTGTTTCACAAAACTTTGAACATTGAATCCGTAAACTTTTGCAATCTAGTGTGTATACTGTATAGATACATTTCAATTCAATTTATTTAGAATATTTCCTTGAAAATCCTTAAATTTTTGATCAAATTTTCATCGGGTTTATCGGAATCTATTATATAATATCGATAAAGGGTTTTATTTCATTTAATACTATTAATAAACTATTGGTGTCCCCTAAACTATAGTTTTATAAAAGTATTCTAATTGTTGTTCCCTAAACTATAGTTTTATAAAAGTATTCTAATTGTTGTTCCCTAAACTATAGTTTTATAAAAGTATTCTAATTGTTGTTCCCTAAACTATAGTTTTATAAAAGTTTTCTAATTGTCGTTCCCTAAACTATAGTTTTATAAAAATTTATTTTCTAATTGTCGTTCCCTGAACTATAGTTTTATAAAAGTATTCTTATTACTGTCCCTTAAACTATAATTCTATTTTAGTTGTTGTTCCCTGAACTATTATTCTATAAAAGAATTATAATTGCTGTTCCCTAAACTATATTTCTATAAAAGTATTCTAATTGTTGTTCCCTAAACTATGATTCTATAAAAATATTCTAATTGCTGTTCCCTAAACTATAATTTATAAAAGTATTCTAATTGCTGTTCCCTAAACTATAATTCTATAAAAGTAATATAATTGCTGTCCCCTTCTAAGAGAATTGCGCGTTTGTCTTTTTTCCATTTTGTTCGTTCATCGTTTGTGGACGACCCATCGTTCGTTTTTTAATCGTTCAAAAAAACGATGATTTTGTTCGTCCAACAAATTATTGTTTATTTTCAATATATTTCTTTTGTTTTCTCACTGAACGATCGTTCGGTAAAATCGTTCTTTCAGTAAAATCGTTTGTTAATAAAATCATTATTTTAGTAAAGTTTGTTTAAAATTCTATCATTCGGAAAATAAATTACATTTGGAAATTTTTTTTTAGAAAAAATCGTTTGTTCAGATAGCGATAGTTTTTTCAAAGTCTTAAGAAAAATTGAATCGTTCAGTTCAAAAAAGCATTTTTTCGCTTGACTTTAGAAAACGATGTTTTAAATTTCTCTGAACGATCCAAGTCATTCGTCCATCGTAAATTTTTTTGTTCACGAAAAATTTCGTTTTTCACGAAAAAATGCACTGTAGGATTTGAGTGGTTTGAGCCTGGAAGAGTGTGAGGTCCTGGTTCCTAATGGACCTGGAGGCTGGAGGAAAGTGTCAGCAATTCTTCATTGCCTTCTCAGGTAAATCCTTAATCTTCTTTTTGAGTTTCAATCGTTAACTGACAACCCCCCTTCCCCTTCTCGACTGAAAATCGGCGTATGCAGTCTAAATATAAAGAAAACCAAAAATTATTTAGCAGACTTTTTATAATCTCCAGAAAACTTGCAAGTTGGAATTTTGAAAAATCACATTATTCATCAAACTTCCAGTCTTGGTTTACAAAATAAGTATATAGCATGTTAAATTATCAAAAAAAGAAAGATTTTCACGTACCGCATCAATCCAACCGTGCAAAAGTATGAAAAATCGACTTGATAGAATTGTAAAAAATAGTTGACGATGGATATCAGGATTAATACTTAATCCTCTGTTTTTGCTAATCTCAAGATTATAACATATCTCGAGATTAGGTTAGTCTCGAGATTAAATATCTAGATCAACAAATTGGATTCTAAGAACGCCAGATTGCATGGTTCTTTTTCCTGACTGGAAGGGCCTTCACTTAATTTCTCACCCATTTATTTATTCATACATTAGTTAAAATTGGTTACAAAAGAATCTCAAACGTATTTTTAAATATTTTTCTTCACCGATTAATTTACAAAATGGCAGACAACAAATTCTTGATTTGCGGATTTCTCTCATGGGATAGAATTTGTTTTCAAGGCTGTCATTAGTCAATACAATTTACGAACTATATTCCTGCACTCTCATTGGAGAAAATAATATACCGATATCAAAAGAAAGAGAAAAAGAGTGGATTAAGGACTAAAATTAAAAGTTTCCACGCTGGATATTCGGATTAAGTTGTCGGGATTAAAGGGTATCCATTCTAAAAATCCCAGCTCTGCTTCCTTAGATATAAACTTTTCAAAAACTTAAAAAATGTTGAAATCCAAGAACCGGAAGTTGGATTATTATCTATGGTTGAAAGCACACTTTTATTTTATTGTATTTATTCTAAAATTATATGACGATCAGGGGCTGATGTAGGGGGGTGCTGGATTAATTTAAGTACAAAAAAAAAGGGTGCCGCAGGGGAACTTTTTTTTACCTAAAAAACTCAAAAAAAAGGATCAAAATTAATAACTAAAGATTCAAAAACTAGATTTTTAACTTATCTGAGCTGGGAATTTTTGATTGGTGGATATCGGGAATAATGCTTGATCTCCTCTTTTTCTTAGCCTCCAGATTATATTATGCTTGTTCTCCTCTTGTTATTATCTCCAGATCAATTTTCCGATCGGGATTAAGGATATCACATTCTAAAGTTCCCAGCTCAGCACACATTATAGTTTATTAAGATAGATATTTTGCCTGTTTTGCATTATGTTTTTTTAGAAGCTATTTGCATCAGGAAAAAAAATGGAGATATAAGATGTTTAGATTTGGGGTAATCTATAAATAATTGTATTACTGAACATTTTTGAATCATGAAAAACAGGATAGAAAAAAATTCCCAAATAACTTATTTCAGAAAGCACTCAATTTTGAAGAAAAAATAATCCTTTACACAAAAAATAGATTTAATGCCAATTTTCTCCCTTTTTTCATTTTTCGTTTCCAATTCTTTTATTTTTTTCATTTTATAGCTACCGTGCTACGGGCCTGCCAAAAATTCTAAATATAGAAACACAAAATTCTTAAAATTGAAACAAAAATTTCTAAAAAAAATATTATAATATTGTTCCTATCTAACTTGCATATGCGTATTAATGTTCCTTATACTCATTAATCAAAATTCGAATAATGTTCCTAATTTTAAATTTACGTGGCAAATAACTTTCCTAGTAATTTCCTTTTGTTTTCAATTCCCGCTTTATGTTCCTATTATTGACCATTAAGTTCCTATGAATGGCATTTTTGGGCATGTGTATGTTTCCTTTTTTTGTACCTTCATGTTTTGATCATCAATTTATGTTTTACGAATTATGTTCCCAGCTCTTTTATTTTGTTCCTAACTTGTAATTAACTTGCTTAATGTTCCTATTTTGTGTACTTAGACCCTAAATCCCTGTCCTGTTTTGTTACCATATTACTCCGTTAATAGACAGGGATCCCATCTTATTTTAAACTTACTTTAAACTTAAATATACTTTTACATGACTTCATAGAATCCGCGAATTCATTTCTTACTTCAGAGAAGCGCGAGCAGGGCGAGACGAAGCAGAGCGAATTCGAAGTGAAGCATTTTGCATAAAACGAGCAGCTGAGCTGGATTGTCAGAAGGTTAGGTTGGACGCCAAGCATCTGGTACAACGGGGAGATATGGACGCACAACAGGTAAAAGTGCTAGTCATCAAATCATGAATATTTTATTGAATTGTGAAGTTTTAAAGGAATTCAGTCTTTGCAATAAACTATGATTTTTATATGGTGGTGTAAAATTTTAATATTTCAAATTCAGATTATTTGATTGAACAGAATTCTTGGTTAGAAATGATTAAGAAAGGGCATTGGGTTGCGAAATTACAAAGAGCTGTTGGCAAAATCTCTATTCCGTTCGAGTTACAATCAGAATTGATAAATTACTCCTCTAAAACTAAAGAAAAAAGGGACAACTTTTATTACATATTCTTGTGCTTGTAATTCATGTTCGGAAAGAGCGAGCAATAACAAATATTTCTGCACTGTCAGTTTCTTTGTAAAAAATAAAAATATTTCACACTAAAACTGATCTACAAAATCCAACTCAAGTTTGACCATGTTTAAGGTAAAAGAACAGACGGAGCGTCGTATTTGTGAGATAAAGGAATTGGCTGAGAGTAGGTTCAAAGATCTGAGAAATGATTCATTGCACAAGTAAGTTGTTCATTGCACAAGTAAGTTGTTCATTGCACAAGTAAGCTGTTCATTGCACCAGTAAGTTGTTCATTACACAAGTAAATTGTTTATTGCACAAGTAAGTTGTTCATTACACAAGTAAGTTGTTCATTGCACAAGTAAGTTGTTCATTGCACCAGTAAGTTGTTCATTGCACAAGTAAATTGTTTATTGCACAAGTAAGTTGTTCATTGCACAAGTAAATTGTTTATTACACAAGTAAGTTGTTCATTGCACAAGTAAGTTGTTCATTGCACAAGTAAGTTGTTCATTGCACAAGTAAGTTGTTTATTGCACAAGTAAGTTGTTCATTACAGAAGTAAGTTGTTCATTGCATAAGTAATTTGTTTATTGCACAAGAAAGTTGTTCATAGCACAAGTCGGTTGTTCATTGCACCAGTAAGTTGTTAATTACACAAGTAAGTTGTTCATTGCACAAGCAAGTTCTTCATTACACAAGTAAGTTGTTCATTACACAAGTAAGTTTTTCATTACACAAGTAAGTCGTTTATTGCACAAGTAAGTTCTTCATTGCACAAGTAAGTTCTTCATTGCATAAATAATTTGTTTATTGCACAAGAAAGTTGTTCATTACACAAGTAAGTTGTTTATTGCACAAGTAAGTTGTTCATAGCACAAGTAAGTTGTTCATTGCACCAGTAAATTGTTCATTGCACAAGTAAGTTGTTTATTGCACAAGTAAGTTGTTCATTGCACAAGTAAATTGTTTTTTGCATAAGTAATTTGTTTAATTGCACAAGAAAGTTGTTCATTGCACAATTAAGTTGTTCATTGCACCAGTATGTATGTATTGCACAAATAAGTTGTTCATTAAACAAGTTGTTCATTGCACAAGTAAATTAAATAAGAATAAAAGCATTGTTACAAAATAAATGTAAAAGGAAGGTGCTCGGTGGCCGCGGGGGGGAATAATTGTTTTACACTCCCTTCCCCTTAGAAATTTTAATTTCTCAATGCGCTAAAAAGCATTGACAATTTTTTTATTGGATCTCAGAAATTATAAAATATTTTCATGTAAGAGTGAATAACAAACAAAAATTCAAGGCATATAGAAAACAAAATATTAAACATAATTCCTTAAATCTTGTTGTTTATATATTTTATTTTACATGCACATCAATATTTGTTCTCTCCAATTTAAAAATCTTGATATTTCTTTATTTTAATTCTATTAGGCATAATGAACATGATATATTACTCGGTAAACTACAGGCTGTATTGGAAAGACAGGTAAAAGAACAAATAGTTTAAATCCATTTTAGTAAATAAAGTTTTTTTTTCAAACGTTTTTTACTCATAGATTAGCTATAAGGGACTATAATACGAAGCGACCATGCAAAGATGGCAATGTCCAAATTACAACGGTGCCCTTGAAACCTTATTCTGATAAAAATACTGTAGTTTTTCTGACTAAAAAAGTGATTAATTTTGTTAATTTCTGCATTGCTCCTTATGAGCAAGAAAAGGGAAGGTTTATTGAAAAAATATTTTACCTTGAAAAATGTCGATCTTCAACAAATTAAAAAAATTAATCAGTTTTAGCTTTACAATATCAAGGAAAAAACGACCGCTTGAAAAACAACATCTTAACGTTTAAATTGGTGCAATATTAAATTAGCCCCCAGAAAGCTTAGTGACGATCAAAAAGGTCATTTGATTATAATTCAAATTAACAATTTTCCTAACTTTTATTTTTGCCGTCAGGGAAAATGTTTACAAGACTCTGAGAAAATATTTGAAGATCATGAAGAAGAAATCAGGTAAATAAAGGGTGTACTTTAAAAAGGTTTCCACTTTGTATTTTGAATTCTAGAACTATTGGCAATTCACCCTTTTGAATTCATATTTACCTAATATTGATGGAAATAAAACAAGTCTTGGTGCATGTCTTACAGATGGAGACACATGACCAGTATGCTTGTTGACCATAAATCCACCTTCTAACCCCCCCTACATAATGTCGTCTTTACCAAGTTCCAAACCAAATCAATACCCAACAATTTCTCTGTACTCTCCGCCAAAAATGGAAAACAACATTTAAACAACCTGGTTTATATTTTCAGAAGTATTTACAAATACCCGTAAACACTCCTTATCATCCGCGACACGACAAAATAGTAAGATATCTAATTGTACGTTCAATATAATTTATACATTGACATTTATTGTTACTATATCTATATTTTTTAGTAGGTTTAAAAGCCGTTTAAAGCTCCTCTGGGTTATTGTAGTTTTTAGATTCGTTGCGTATTTGCTGTATGTGAACGTAGACGAATATTCCATATCTTATATATACAAGTTTTGGTATAACGTTGACACGGTTTATGCAAATTTCTCGAGACAGGGACATCAGATAGAACTCATAAAGGCAGTGATCACAATTCCTAATGTGTCTTGGTTTCAGCCTATACCCCTTCTATTTTTTCATAAATAAATAATGCTCTAATCAAAAGAAATAATGTCATTATAGTTCTTTGCATGAAATCCAAATAACAATTTTCCCATATTCGATGGGGTCCTAAAATAAATAAAAATCATTTCTAGACAAAAATGTTGGTTTTCAAAAAAATTCAGAAACCATGAGTAGAAAATTGTAGATTTTATATTTCTTCAGCATTTATTGGATACAGTTTGATAAATGATAATGGTTTATTCCTCTGCAAGGTTGTAGTGCTGGATCTAACAGCCTTACAAGATTAATTGAAAATATTCAAATTTAGAGAATTTTATCAATATTTTTCAAACAAATTTTGATAAATATTAAAATGTTTAAAATGTTTAGAGAGATCACAGAATTTACAGAGAAAAAGTTCAGTGAGTTTGAAAGTGCAGTAATTGAGGTAAATTATTTATAATTAATTTTATCTTTTCCAAATTATAGATATTTTCTTTTTCTTAATACTTCTTCCATATAACTAGTGTTGTTAATGGTTTCGGATCGTTTTTTAGAAAATTTCCATAAAAAATCCTAAATTTCGAAACATTATTATGTTGAAGTTTGCTTTCATAACACACAGCAATTTCTTTTTCCTGAAAGAAATCAAAATTGGAAAATCAATTTAACACATTTGTTTTTGCGTTGTTTTTGGATAGTTCTTGGGTCTTTTTTTAGCATAAATTGCTGACAGGGTTAAAATTTGTCTTATGGAAAGAACGCCAAATGTTAAAGACAAAAAAAAATCATTTGCTTTCCTTACATTATACCAAATTTTGACGCTAAAGGAAAGTACATGAAAAAACGAACTTACCCTGGACTAACCAGGACGAACTAAGTACGAGATGCAATCAGTTTCATCAATCGCTTTTTCAGTCTATAATTGAACAATCTTTAAACTTACTGACTTAAATTTTTCTTGTAAAACGCTTTCGATGAACAAAATCAGCAAAAAAGAAAAGAAAAAGGTAAACCCATGATATATTTGAGTCAGGTTGAGGAGAGGATCGGTAGGTTGAAGACGATCAATCAGGAGATCAATCTGGATTTTGATCAGAAAATTAAATCTTTGCGTTCAGGAACCTATAATGAAAAATCTCAATAAAAGTAATATCTAACAATGTCTTTGATTATTACAGTGATAACCAGAAAACTCTGGAATAGGAAGCCGATTTTAATACTCAAGTTACGACGTTAAATAGTCCAATAAACATGAGGCACACAAATTGTGCAGTGTAATCAGACCTAAATATTTCACTTAATAAGAGATTTAAAACATTTTTCTAGTAAAGCTTTCTAAAAGCAGGGATGCAAAGTTACATGGTCTCCCCAGGGTTCGATTTTACTTTCCATTCCTGGTTTCAGAGGTGCAATAATAATTCAGTTTTCAAAAAGTTACATTAGCATCAATGACTCGATTAAAAATATAAAACAGTCCTGAACTTAAGCAGATGAACAAACTAATGTAATTTAANCCCCCCCCCAGTAAATGCAAGGATGCACTTTGATTTTAAAAGATTCGCAGAAAGAAGTTTTGCATTAAAGTGATTTCCCGTAAACCAATAAGTTCCACTTTGTAACTTGGTTAAACAGAATCCATTAGAAGCTGAATTTAGAGTTTAGAACAGAAATAGCAGACAATAGAACACGACAAGGCACGCATTCAAAACTGATCATTTATATATATCTGTATTTTAAAAATAGATCTTAACCCTATCAACCCTCTAAATCCCATGATTGATGTCCATAAATGCAGACCAACGATACATCATTGAAAGCTCTTATGCTCTACTATTAGAATCTGAAAAAAATTGTAATTTCTACTGCAGTTATCAAAGTAATAATGATTGCAAAAAAGAATGTCCAAAAATAATGAAATATACCTTTTTGAAAAGCCATTGAAAAAAGTTTAAATAACTCGATTTGTAATTAAGAAAAACTAAAATTTTCTTTAACAATTGCAAATAATTTGCAAAAGTTTCTTTGCAAAACTTGTGCTTTCCGTTTCCTTATGTCTTCGGCTTTCCAAAAAGTTAAATTTATCAAAACCTGACAGCTGCAAGTGGGTCAAAACAAAGATTTAGTTTGTGACAGGAAAAAATACTCATTTAAGCAGTGTGCCTGATGCCTAATGGGATTGCTATGGGTATTTAAGAAAAGTCAGAAAAATTTCCCCGTCAGGACAAATGGAGGAAAATGTACGCTATGCTGGATCGAAGGGATGAGCTAGAAGTAAGGATGGAGCTAAGGCGGGGAGCTGAGTTTGAAGTAAGGACAAAATTAGAAAGGGAGCAAGGGAAAAGATTTTCACTTTTAGATGTGTTCATCATTGACAGCTTTGATCGACTGAGATATTTATGCTGCGTAGAGACATATGTGTCAAGTTTGTTCACAAACAACAACTAGTTTTAAGAAGTATGATTTGTTAGAGACTATAAAACTGTAGTTGATTAAGCAAAATACATACGTCACAATCTAGCGTACATTTTCCTCCATTTGTCCTGACGGGAAAATTTCAACAGTCTCAGACCAATACTTTTTGAATTATGTAAAAATAACTATAGGGCCCCGTAGAAAAAGATTTTTCATATTAAAATTCATAAAATTATACTTTTTTGTATTATTAAAGTTTGATTTTTTAAATTGATATTGATAATATAAATGTCATAATATTTGAATTACAAAAACGGCTGAAAAAAATGAGTCTTTGCTGCAATTCAAATTTTCTAATCCCTAAATCGTTGTGACCTGATGCATATGGTTTAAAACATTTATTTTTAAAGCATAGAATATTTGGTCTACTAGAATTCATACTTTGACATATCTAAGGCTTATTATGACATTCTATTGCACAAATTTAGGCATTAGAAAATCAGAATTTTTTTGGCACAGACTCAATGCCTATAGTGCACATTTTAAAAAGTAAAAATATTGTCTATTTTCAGAATTTTCTGTTTTAAATCCCCCCCCCCCTTTCTACCACTCCAACCTAATCCAAGTCTAAATATACAAAAGTTAATCTTTGTCTATTTTATTTGATGAATTTTGTTAAAATGTTGAATGTTCCGACAGTTTTGTTGAGTTTAAACTGCGTGGTTGGTTTAATATCTATCCTTCTCTACATTATACTCTCAACACCAGGGGAATATATATAGACATTTGTTTTACAGACATACAGACAGATAGACAGAAAGATAGCTCAAAAAAACAGATTAACAGCTCACCAGATAGAGAGACAACTAAAGAGCTCAATAGAGAGATAGACAGCTGAACAGACAGATAGACATAAAGACAACCCAACAGACAGAAAGACATCTCTATAAACAGACAGATAAAAGACAGATAAAAAAAACAGATCAACAGAAATATGTACAATTTTTTTAATGACAGATAGACAGATAAACACCTCAAAAGACAGATAAACAGCTCAAAAGACAGAGAAACAGCTTAAAAGACAGAAAAACAGCTCACCAGATAGAGAGACAACTAAACAGAAATATATGTAGCCCAATACAGAGATAGACAGATAGACAACTCAACAGAAAGAAATACATATCAATGCACAGATAAACAGATAAAAGACAGAGAGACAACTGAACAGACATATATCAACTCAATAGAAAGACAGCTGAACAGACACCAAGACATTTATACAAACAGACAGAAAGCTCAATACACAAATAGACAGCTCAACAGGCAGAGACAACTATAGTTCAAGAGACAGAGGAAAACTCAACAGACAGATTGACAACTCAACAGACAGACTGGCAGTTGGATAGACAGATAAACAGACAGCTTCACAGAAATATAAATCCTACATATTTCTTTAATTTATAGGAGTAATTTTTGAAGAAACAAATTCCAGGTCAGATTTGATTTTTAATTTATACCCATGAGAACTTCTATTTTACTATTTGAAGAGCCCGGTGTTGCTCGTGAATTTCTAAAGAAATATAAAATTGTTTAAAGTCGATTTTTGAAGAAGAAACTTTTTTAATTTTTTTCAGCCTATGTTACCTATTTGCGGGTATTTTGTAACCTGTCCTATATATGTAAAGTTTGTAACCTGTCCTATATATGTAAAGTTTGTAACCTGTCCTATATATGTGAAGTTTGAACCTGTCCTATATATGTAAAGTTTGAAACCTGTCCTATATATGTGAAGTTTGTAACCTGTCCTATATATTTAAAGTTTGTAACCTGTCCTATATATGTGAAGTTTGTAACCTGTCCTATATATGTAAAGTTTGTAACCTGTCCTATATATGTAAAGTTTGTAAATTGATTTATATAATTTAGATTTGTGTCCCATGATAACAAGCTGGAGGAACTAAAGGGAACTAAAACAAACCAATTAATTAATTTAATTGCCATGTTTTTCTAAATTTAAATAATATAGAAATACAACATTATAATTAACCTTAACCTCCAAGGGGCTTCGTATCCTTTTTCCAGCAGTACTTAAAAATGTGTTTTCTGTGACCTGTTTTTTTAGGCCGGTTCAGCCCTTAAAAGCTTTGGCTGATATGCATTTTTTTGTTCATTTTCATTTCTGGTTTCTCTGCGATAGCAAATTACGCATTTCTTACTTGTAAGAAAAAAGAAAATTTTTTGAGTCAGAAAAACGACGATATCTTCCACGTTTTTTATCAGGTTTTAAAGGTATCGTTGTCGATCGGCCATTACTTTCTTTGCATGGGGGGGTCACTTAGAATTTGGCTTACAATCCCTTAGCTTACAAAATTACTTTTGGGCATCTCGAAATGGCTCTATAGTCTATATATATGTTCGCAGAAAATATATAAATTTTTTGCGTTCATAAATATCCAAAATAGCAACTTGAAAGGATTAAGTGTTGTCTAGAGTTTGAATTAAATCTAGATAAATCTAGACATTTCTGTCAGAATCTCAAACAAAGAGCTAGAAATATATATCTTCAAGTTTTTGTAAAAATATTTAATTCTTGGATAAACCAACTAAACCATCTGCTGCCTCATTCACTGGATATTAAAAGAAAATTAAACTTGAGGATGGGGGTGGAGGGGAAAATTAAACTGGAGGAAGGGGGGTGGGAGTGGAAAATTAAGTTCGAAAATGTTCTCTAAATTCATGATTCCTAAATTCTAAATAAACATCTTTCCTTTCTTGTAGATGTTTGAACTTATGTAATATATGAACCATCAAAAGCATCAAAATGGCAGATTCTATTTTTCTCAATTTTTTCAGGAAAAGTAAAGAAAAAAACTTTTATACTTTCAAAAATGGAAGGAAGGAAGAAACTTTCTTATATCTTGTTTAAAATAAAAGAGACCGACCCCCCCCCCCATTCTATGTAAAGTTATCGTTTAGTTATCTGACAGGGTAGAATAGAGATGAAAATAGCAACTCTAGAGATAGATACAGCATCAGGATTCAAACATTCACAGAAGAAGCTGAGCTCAATAGATCAGAACCTTGAGCAAAGATTGGAGTCATTCATCTCTAACTTCAAGAACGAGGTTAAACTTCTCCAGGATAGGTAAACACAGGATAGGTAAACACAGGCTAGGTAAACACAGGAAAGGTAAACACAGGATAGGTAAACACAGGATAGGTAAACACAGGATAGGTAATAGGATAGGTAAACACACGATAGATAAACACAGGATAGGTAAGCACAGGATAGGTAAACACAGGATAGGTAAACACAGGATAGGTAAACACAGGATAGATAAACACAGGATAGGTAAACATAGGATAGGTAAACACAGGATAGGTAAACACAAGATAGTTAAAACAGGATAGGTAATCACAGGATAGGTAAACAAACACAGGATACGTAAACAACACAGGATAAGTAAGCACAGGATAGTTAAGCACAGGATAGGTAAACACAGGATAGGCAAACACAGGATAGGTAAACACAGGATAGGTAAACACAGGATAGGTAAACACAGGATAGGTAAACACAGGATAGGTAAACACAGGATAGGTAAACACAGGATAGGTGAACACAGGATAGGTAAACACAGGATAGGTAAACACAGGATAGGTAAACACAGGCTACGTAAACAGAGAATAGGTAAACACAGGATAGGTAAACACAGGATAGATAAACACAGGATAGATAAACACATGATAGGTAAACACAGGATAGGTAAACACAGGATAGGTAAACACAAGATAGTTAAAACAGAATAGGTAATCACAGGATAGGTAAACAAACACAGGATACGTAAACAACACAGGATAAGTAAGCACAGGATAGGTAAACTCAGGATAGATAAGCACAGGATAGGTAAACACAGGATAGGTAAACACAGGACAGGTAAACACAGGACAGGTAAACACAAGATAGTTAAAACAGGATAGGTAAACACAGGATAGGTAAACACAGGATAGGTAAACACAGGATAGGTAAACAAAGGATAGGTAAACACACGATAGATAAACACTGGATATCGATAAACATAGGATAGGTAAACACAAGACCAAAATTGGTTGATATGTCGCCAAAAAACTGTGTTTTTTTTTAAGGCCCCAAAAATAATTTTGTTGCTTCGTATTTGTTTAATATCCAAAACTATAAAGCACAAAGAGAATGGAATAGTTTAAAAAAAAGTCACCCTAGTGCATATGGTAGAAAGCAGTTTCTTGAAATATATAAAACAGTCTCTTTAATCGATCCTTTCCTCGGATAAGGTTGGAGGTCGTGGAGGATGAGCTGGAGGATCAGGAGGACAAGGTGGAGAACATCAAAGAGGGAACTGAAATCAATCTTAACAACCTCAGGTCTAGTAATGTTATGTTTTTGAAAACTAGGATTATATCTATTTGTATATATAGAGTAGTAATCTCTGTTCGTTTGATTGTATCTCCGATCATAGCTCATGAACCCCTTGACCGATGAACCATGAACCACGGGAATGTTCTTACCTTGATTTAAATTGAGTGGGCCCACTTTAATAGGAAGAAAATAGCTAAAATCTTTATTTACTAACATAGGAATTTAGTCTTTGCTGCAAAACCTGATTGTCTAATCCCTTTATCTTTGCAACACAATGACGCATAACTCAGATATTTCAAAAATGTTGGAACAATATTTTTGAAATTTCAAAGGACTACATCATCATGTTGCAAGATATAGGGATTAGAAAATTTGAGTTGGTGGAAAAGAGTCAATTCCTTTACCACCAAGCGCGGGTAAACGGCGGGAGTAACTATGAGTATCCTAGGTATCGCTGGGTTCTATTAGTAGTATTTTTATTATATGCCAACTCAATTTAGAAGTTTTAAACCAAATAAAGTAAAGTTAAGTTTTTTTTTTTAAAACTAGGATTATATTATTTTACCGCCTTTTGACCAATTCCCTTTTAAGTTCCTCAATGTTCCTTGGGACAATTAAGTGAAATAACGATCCGCTCTGCGTATTTTTCAGGTTTCACGGTAAAACCAAATTTTTGATCAACTACGGTCTTGGAACCCTCGGTAAAGTAAAATTGCCCTAGCTTTTAGAATCTAGCTGTATATTTAAACAATTATTACAATATCCGTGCCAAATGAATTTAGAAATTTTGAAACAAACTAAGAATCAGATTTTCCTAAGAAGAATTGAGTCTTTGGATTAAAATCAAATATTTAAACCACAATATCTTTAGAACTCGATGTTGTAAACCTTTGATACTTCAAACTCAGATTATTTGATCTAACAGAGTTCATAGTTTGAAATATCTAAAGTATGCAACATTTGGTTCCAAAGATATAGTGATTAGAAAATCAGAGTTTGTGGCAAATATTCAATTCCTTTGTCAAGAGGTTCATGTGTTATGGTGAGACATATTAACAAACAGACCCATTAGAGATGTACAAACAAGAAGAAAATAAAGAACAAGAAATATAGAAAAGTCAAAATATATAACTTTTAAAGTATATTGTAAAAAAATTTAAACTGTAAAATAAAAAAGTTTGTTAGTTTTTAACACCCCTTGGGTACCCATGAGTGTCTACAAAAAAAAATGAGCCCAGTCGGTCTATCCGTTTGCCCGGCCATACGCAACATACAATATGTGAATGTCGTGTTTTGTATATCTAATTATATCTTATTAAACCAGAGAATTTAAAGAATTTCAGCCGCGGCTCAAATATGGTTGGTTCCGCTTAAATTTTTCAAGATTTAAGCCGGCGGTCAAAACCGCTTTTTGGGGATTTGAGACGTGGCTTAAATTCATTAAATTCTGACACAGGACGTAGTTATAGATGTATAACATTTTTATGGTCCAGACAATTCTTTATGTATTTATGACCAAACTGAAATTTTATTTCGAATGTTCGAAGAATTAAAATAGATTTTTTTAGCCTACGTTACCCCCCGGTGTACTCAAGGGTTCCCTAAAAAATGTCAGCACATTCGGTCCAACCGTTTGGCCAGCTATAGCTAATATATAAATATATGAGTTATATGCTATAGATGTAAAATAAGCATTAAAAATGGATAAGCATTAAATATGTATTTTGTTCCATATTTATTTATGATATAGATATGTCTTGATTATATTTTCCAAAAAAGTGTGCTTATAGCCAGGAAACATTTTTACCCACGTTATGTGCCAAGGACGAAGTTGGTGGGTAAATAATTCTGCAATACATGTTCGCCATCGGTTCGTCGGAGACTTAATGTTTGCAGGGATAATTGTTTGAAATATTATATACCTCACATGTATATATTTATATAAATATATATGTATATATATCCTGGGTTGAGTTGTAAAGTATATAAAGGGCTTAACATATAATTTTATATATATATATATATCCTGGAATACTAGACTTTGTATGGCTGAAGCTGATAGTTTTATAGTTTTTATTCCCCCAACTCCTTGGAGTAAAAATTCAATCCCAAATATCAAGAGATTCTCAAGTAATAGTTTTGCCATATTCGTAAAAATACTTCACTATAGATTTTTCAATGCATTTCTGTTATAATTTTGTCTTTTCAGTGTATATATTTACTGTAATCATCGTCGTATGTTATCAAAAAATATATGATTGCTAGAGTTTTATCGGATTTCATTGATTTCTGATAATTTAAAGAAAACATTTACCGATCAGAAACCTTTCCTGGGGTCATGTGACACCCTGGTCCAATCTTTGTATGATCCGACCCTATTTAGGGATTTACCGGTCTCAGTGATATCCAGAAAACTCTGAAATAGGAAGACGACTTTTATAATTAAGTTAATGAGCATGAGACACAAAAATTGTGCAGTGTAAACAGACCAATTTAACAAAATTAGTAATTTCTTAAGTGTTAAGTAAAACCTTTTGCTTTGTAACAACACCCACCACGCTTAGTACTGTTTTAATGTCGTCTTCCTCTTCCATGGTTTTCTGGTTATCACTGGAGTGAAATTGAATTTACTCGTTCACGTTTTATGTAGGCGGGTTGGATCGATTGTTTCGGTCTCAAAAAAATAATGGATGATCAGCTCAGCTATTGAGACGTTTAGATACAAGCAAACAAGCCAACAGAGATATAAACAAGATAAAAATAGATGTGCACGTATTTTACCTTAAAAAGTCTAGTTTATCTCTTTGCATAATTCTGTTCTATGCATCCTCCTAGATTAACTCTCAGTATATATGTATAATTTAGGTCAGAACTTCAAGAGGAGCTTAACCAGGCCTCTCAGAGGTGATTTAGTTTTCATGTTTTAATTCAGTTTTCATGTTTTTATTTAATTACATGTTTTCATTTAGTATTTATGTTTTCATTTAGTTCTCATGTTTTCGTTTAGTTTTCGTGTTTTCATTTAGTTTTTATGTTTTTATTTAGTTTATATGTTTTCATTTGGTTGTTGAGTTTTCATTTAATTTTTATGTTTTTATTAAGTTTTCATATTTTTATTTAGTTTTCATGTTTTCATTTAGTTTTCATGTTTTCATTTAGTTTTCATGTTTTCATTTAGTTTTCATGTTATCTTCTAGTTTTTATGTTTTCATTTAGTTCTTGTGTTTTCATCTAGTTTTCAAGTTTTCATTTAGTTTTCATGTTTTCTTTTCAGTTTTCATGTTTTCATGTAGTTTTCATGTTTTCATTTAGTTTTCATGTTTTTTTATTTAGTTTTCATGTTTTCATTTAGTTTTCATGTTGTCTTCTAGTTTTCATGTTTTCATTTAGTTTGCATGTTTTCATTTAGTTTGCATGTTTTCATTTAGTTTTCATGTTTTCATTTAGTTTTCATGTTTTTTATTTAGTTTTCATGTTTTCATTTAATTTTCATGGTTTTATTTAGTTTATATGATTTCATTTAGTCTTTACGTTTTCATTGAGTTTTCATGTTTTCATTTAGTTTTCATGATATCTTCTAGTTTTCATGTTTTCATTTAATTCTCGTGTTTTCATTTAGTTTTCAAGTTTTCATTTAGTTTTCATGTTTTCATTTAGTTTGCATGTTTTCATTTAGTTTTCATGTTTTCATTTAGTTTATATGTTTTCATTTGGTTTTCATGTTTTCATTTAGTTTTCATGTTTTCATTTAGTTTTCATGTTTTCATTTAGTTTTCATATTTTTATTTAGTTTTCATGTTTTCATTTAGTTTTCATGTTGTCTTCTAGTTTTCATGTTTTCATGTAGTTTTCATGTTTTTTTTTAGTTTTTACCTTTTTCTATTTAATTTTGTTGTTTATTTAATAATTTTTAAGTTGGAATGGCTAAAGCAAATTTCCGTGCAATTTTACTGTTTTCTTTTCAAATTTGCTTGCAAATTCAACAGAATTTTAGGCGGAGTTCCATATTTTTGCTCAAATAAATTGTACATAAAAGGTGCGCAAACACTTCACAAAAAGTCGATTACTGTAAACCTCTGTTATGATTAGAAATGCAAATAATGGCTAATGTTGCATAAAATTGACGATTGATATTTGCATTTGTTGCGTGGAATTTTCTGATCAGTTTTCACTTTTGCACCCTAATATGCGCAAAGTTCAAAACAACATTTCTGTGATTTTTTTTATACGAAAGAAGTGCAATAAATTAGGAATTTGCGTACAACGATCAATTTCCTTAGCCTGGAAACCAATGTTTGAGAAGGAATAGATTCCGCGCCCCACACTCAAATTTCGTAATCCTTATATCTTTGCAACTTAAAGGGGATCAGTAACATTTTGTATATTTCATTTTTTCTTATAGTAACATTTCGTAAAAACAAAATTTTGTCTAGGTAACATTTTGTATAAATAACATCTTGTTTAGGTAACTTTTCATACAAGCAACAATTGTGGTATTTTTTTGTATAATTGTAAAAAAATTAAACATTAAATATAAGCTATTTGATAAACTATCAACATATTTTTTTTAACGAATTATTATCCATCAGATTTTAGGTATTCTCTATCAGACAGGATGCCAAACTGTTATCTGCAGCAAATAATAACGCACAGGTCCTCCAATAGTTGACAGGCATTATGAATCAACAATTGTTATCAATTATGGTATCTTGATGAGTGCTCACTTTAATATAGTCTTATCTGAGAGACATGGTTGTTTTGAAAAAGTTGTAATTTGGCGGATTTTCTTCACCATGGTTCAACGATTATCCGTCAAACTATCTCCATTCTTTAATGAATAATTATGTATACAAAAAATTACCAATATACAAAATGTTACCTATGCGAAATTTTACGTTTATAAAATGTTACCTTTACGAAATGTTACCTAGACAAAGTGCAACTATACGAAATGTTACCTAGACAAAGTGCAACTATACGAAATGTTAACTAGACAATGTGCAACTATTATTATTATGATTTATTTGTCGAACACATACAATTGGTTCAGATATTAGATTAGAACTATAATTCAATTTATACATAGGTTTTCAACTAACGACTTTAATTCTTCTCTAATGTCGTCTTCTTCACAGTCCCGGAGCTGTAACAGGAGATGCTGCAGACAAAGTGCAACTATACGACATGTTACCTAGAAAATGTGCAACTATACAAAATGTTATCTAGACAATGTGCAACTATACGAAATGTTACCTAGACAAAGTGCAACTATACGAAATGTTACCTGGACAAAGTGAAACTATGCGAAATGTTACCTAGACAATGTGCAACTATACGAAATGTTACCTAGACAAGGTGCAACTATATGAAATGATACCTAGACAAGGTGCAACTATACGAAATGTTACCTAGACAAGGTGTTACTATACATGCGTTACCGATCCCTTAAAAGTACTAACATATGGATATTTTAAACTTTGACAATCTGATCTATTAAAACTCAGAGTTTTAAAATATAAGTACTAAAATAATAGAGTTTGATTGACATATAAAAACCTATATTTAATATTTTTTGTTTTTAGATTTGATGAGTTCATGAAACCTAAGATTCTTCTCACTAAAACAGTTTCTAAAGAGGATCGAAGGAAACCACAAAAATATTAATTTTCTTAAACTTACTGCGCATGGCGCCTACTCCTCCCTAATGAGGTATCAGTTGGGAGGGGGGGGGAGTCAGCACAATTGAGTTTGCACCATACACCCCTTATTCGTGTAAAATAAGGATCTCTGTGGACAGTGATTTCCGTGAAAACTTTTTAAAAAATGGGTTTTTAAACATGAAACAGAGACCACACTATAACTTTGACGGGCTGCCGACGCCCCTACATCTTTTGATAATGGTTGTTAGAATCTATCTATATATCTAGATTATTCAAAATCCATTGTAATTTCTTGTAAAAAACCAATAAGTATATATTTTTCCGAAAAAGGTCTCTGTATCAAAGACGACATTATACCTATCTATATGCAGGTTACAGGATCAATTCAAGGATTTAAATATAAATAGTAATCATAAATTGAAATCATTAAAAATCAATGCAAGATAAAATTGATGCAATGTTTGTAAATGAAAATATTTTCAGAATATATTCATTAATTGTCCATTCTTACCATGACACACAAGACAAATCCATTTTGATAGAAGTTTTGTGATAAAAACAATCAGCCCTTATTATCATTTTGTCTGCTTAATGCTTGATCCCTTGATTCACAACCTAAAAGGTCTGCCTGTGAGTAAATATTTCCATCTGAGGCCGAATCTATTGAATTTCAACCGGCTTACTTAACCGCAAATCACCGGTTCAAATCTTTGCGCTGGCTCAAATCTCGAAGCACCGATTAAAATTTCAACCATCCATGTTTGAGTCTTATTTTTGACGGTTCAAATTCTTAAAATTTTGCTTCTGTTTGTGTAAAACCATTACTTTCTAGTTACATGTTGTCTGTTTTATAAACACTAAGGATTCTAATATAATAAAGCATCAAAGCGAGTTTAACACATAAATTAAGTAGCTCAGCCTTTACTCAGCTTATTTATAAAACTTTCATCTTATTCTCACAATAAAGAGCGAACAGAAAATATTTCAGTTTTGTAATCTTATTTTTGAAGATGTCCAAATCGTATGAAATTAAATTTCTCTTCATCAGTAATACATGCATAACAATTTAGCCAGGGTTTAGCTAAAAACAAAAAATTAAATTTTTTTATCAAAATTTTCTTTATATCTGAATCAAATTGATGAAAATATCATTAAACGTCTAAAGCCACAAAAAAGTGCTATCTTTTTTTTACTTTCAAAAGTATCACTATTCAGTGTTGAATTCTGTTTATAACTTTGACAAAAAACAAACTTTTTGAAAATATTAAAATAAATCATTTGTTGGTTCTTAGGCGAGTTCAGGAGGGTGTCTTCTTAGGTAAAGTAAACGTTATTTAGAAAACAATCATCAAAAAAAAAAATTTGCGAATAAACAAATGCGAAAATTTTGCGAAGAAAATATGGACGAGAAATTATCATTTAAGATATAATAAAACTTCTAATGCTGAGCTTTCAGAACAGAAAATTCCACAAGTTTTTGGCGCAATTAATTGTTGCAGCTTGTCGCGGTCTTTTTTCTCGCTAAATTATTTTTCGAGAAAAGTATTTTTACGAAATTTTGCATTGTTTCCCATTTTACGCTTAATTCATTAATGCGAAAGAGTGCCTGCCAATTTTTGCGAAAAAATTTACGAAATACGTACGAAAATTTTCGCATTTTTCCTGAAAGTATTGTTCGCTAGAAACACTATAGTAACATCACTGTAACTAAAACATTTTTCTACTTAGACCAATATTGTTAGCAGGGACTAGGGTTGTATGAAGATGTAAGACGGGTTTGAGATAACAAACATTATTATCAGGGTTGTATGAAGAGCTATGACGGGTTGGAAATAAACCAATACCAATAGTGTTATCAGGGTTGTATAAGGAGACATGACGGGTTGCAGATAACCCAATATTGTTATCAGGATTGTACAGAGTCTTTCTAATGTTCTTTTGTTTGTTTTTTAATCGCTTCACATTAACAAAAAAAAAACAAAGGTAAATTGTTTAAATCTTATCTTTTTTAATTCTCCAAGTTGGGCCATTTTAGAAAACATCTCAATGACCTCCATTCATGATTACTTGTGTATGCTCTAGCGCTGCTCAAATTGAACTCCATTCTTCTAAGAACAGACTAAAGTGATCGGCGCCATCTTTTAATTCCAGAGAATGTCCTAACCTTTAGAATTCAAAAATTAAAATTCAAACAATTAAACTTTATTTTTATTTTAATATAGGCCGATTAAAAAAAAGAGAAAGCATTAAAATGACATGTCGTATGGGGATAAGCCAATACTTTATTGTTATCAGGGTTGCATGAAGAGCTAGGAGGGGTTGGAGATAAACCAATATTGTTATCAGGGTTGCATGAAGAGCTAGGACGGGGTGGAGATAAACCAATATTGTTATCAGGGTTGCATGAAGAGCTAGGACGGACTGAAGATAAACCAATAGTGTTATCAGATTTGTATGAAGAGCTAGGACGGACTGGAAATAAACCAATAGTGTTATCAGGATTGCATGAAGAGCTAGTACTTTAAANTTATCAGGGTTGCATGAAGAGCTAGGACGGACTGGAGATAAACCAATATTGTTATTCGGGTTGCATGAAGAGCTAGGACGGGGTGGAGATAAACCAATATTGTTATCAGGGTTGTATGAAGAGCTATGGACGGGTTGTAGATAAACCAATATTGTTATCAGAGTTGTATGAAGAGTTAGGACGGACTGTAGATAAACCAACATTGTTATCCGGGTTGCATGAAGAGCTAGGACGGGTTGGAGATAAACCAATATTGTTATCAGAGTTGTATGAAGAGTTAGGACGGATTGGAGATAAACCAATATTGTTATCAGGGTTGTATGAAGAGCTAGGAGTAGGACGAACTGGAGATGAACCAATATTGTTATCAGGGTTGTATGAAGAGCTAGGACGGACTGGAGATGAAACAATATTGTTATCAGGGTTGTATAAAGAGCTAGGACGGACTGGAGATGAATCAATATTGTTATCAGGATTGTATAAAGAGCTAACACGAACTGCAGATAAACCAATAGTGTTATCAGATTTTGTTTGAAGAGCTAGGACGGACTGGAGATGAGCTAATATTGTTATCAGGGTTGTATGAAGAGCTAGGACGGACTGAAGATGAGCCAATATTGTTATCAGGGTTGTATGAAGAGCTAGGACGGACTGGAGATGAACCAATATTGTTATCAGGATTGTATGAAGAGCTAAGACGGACTGAAGATTAACCAATAGTGTTTTCAGATTGTATGAAGAGCTAAGACGGACTGGAAATAAACCAATATTGTTATTATGGTTGTATGAGGAGGTAGGACGGACTGGAGATAAACCAATATTGTTATCAGGGTTGTATGAGGAGAAGGACGGGTTGGAGATAAACCAATATTGTTGTCAGGGTTGTATGAGGAGACAGGACGGGTTGCAAATAGGCCAATATTCTCAATGATAAATGGCAATTATAAACTTTACTCTAAGGTATGAAGTATTTAAAATCAAATAAAAATAAAACAAAATAAGAATATTATTCGCAGGTTGAAAATCAATGGTTTGTTTCAACACTAAATAATTCTCAGGTAAGCCTCCATATAGAGTTGTAATATTTTCTGTAATAAGTTTGCAGAAGCAAAATTGTATTCATTTTGTAACTTTGAGAAGGTTTTGTAGTTGATGAAGGGGTTTGTAGTTGATGAAGGGTTTGTAGTTGATGAAGGGGTTCGTAGTTGATGAAGGGTTTGTAGTTGATGAAGGGTTTGTAGTTGATGAAGGGGTTTGTAGTTGATGAAGTGGTTTGTAGTTGATGAAGGGGTTTGTAGTTGATGAAGGGTTTGTAGTTGATGAAGGGGTTTGTAGTTGATGAAGTGGAAATCTTAGATATTTACTAGAAACAGTTAAATGTTTTCTGATAATCGGTTTCACCAGAGTCGGAGCAGAAATCATCATTATCCTGAGTCCATCGGAGGAACCTTTTCATAATTCATTGAGATACTTTTTAATTAAAGTTTTTTTTTCATTGGAGACTCAAACTTATAAAACTTATCTTTTCCTTAACCCTTTTTTGTAAGCAAGGTGGACCCTTGTTAACTCCAATTACATTGCGAACGGGAATAACCACTAATAAAAGGGACTAGAATAAAATGTATATTTCTCGGGTTTTTTAGTCCATTACTGGTAGGGGTAGCAGGGCACGGACAAGTTCGGATAACGAACGAAAATCTCTAACTGACGGGGGGGGGGNCAATCAAATAAGACTTCTCGGATTTTTTTCAAAAACGATCGGTGTCCGACTAAAATGGGACTCCGAAATAACTCCGAGATTACTCCGATGCTGATGATTTCTTCCTATAATCGGTTTTAGGAGGAAGAAATATATCTACAGTACAATCCTCAGATCCCAAGTATCTCTACTGACAGGTATCTTTAATCTTTAGACAGAGGTCAGAACTTATCCATTGTTAATCCTAACAAAACGAACTAATCTGTATCTGCAAATTCAAAGATTTAAGTTATATCCTTCAATGTGTACGTCTATAAACGCCTTTCAATAAGAAGTCAACAATTTCAAGTGCTCTGAAATGAATTACAAGCCAGAGGCCGAATTTGAAGAATTTGAGTCGTGGCTTAAATTTAAGCCGGGGATCAAACATGGTTGGTTCTACTTAAAATTGTATTAAAATTTTCAATATTTAAGCCCGTGATCATTTGAAACCGGTTTTTGGGGGATTTGAGATGCGGCTTAAATTCATTAAATTCGGACACAGCACATATTTTTCTCTGATAACCAATAAAATCGTTTTAAAATTTTATTTCCTCTGTGGATATCCCAGTCAAAGAAAGTTAAAACATGGTAGATTTGTGATTTTAAAAATTTACAAATGACTTTACTGCTGGTTGGCGTGATTACTCATCTTTTGGTAAAATGTTCAGAGGTTGAATGAATATATAGTTTATAATAATAAAATAAGACATTCGTATATATAAATATTGCGTATAGCAATTTTTTTGTGAAAAATCATGGGTGGCCGGGGGGTGTTAAAGGGTAAAAAAAAATCGAAATAAAAAAAATTAATTATTTAAAAAAAAAGTTCCACGGGCAACGTCGGGCCCTTCAAATAGTTTATAATAATATCTAAATTTCATAAAAAGACGCTCACAAAAAATGCATTACTCAAAACAACAAATTGGACATAACATTCAGCAGAAGGAAGACAAATCTTCACTTCCCGCGAAAAATTACATTTTTATTTTTTTTCAACTTAAGCTTAAGGAAATTCTTAATATATCAGGTAATGTTGACAGCACAAAAAAAGCGTGACCACATTTTGGAAATGTCAGGATTTGAAGATTTTTGTGCTTATTGTTTCAAGAAGCATAAAAGTAAAAGTAGGTTGCCGAACAAATGCCTCACATTATTTCAAATATCTAAGATGATGTTCAAAGGGAGTGACCGGATATGTAAGGTAGTTGAACTAAGTATGCAGTGTTGTTGAAAGCTTCTTTCGGATTCATTTGAGACATATTAAATGTTTTAAAGATCTGTTAATCCTGAGTTTGAGCGCAAATTCGATGTTCAAAACTCCTACTTTGGGGGTGGATACGTTTTCAAAATTAGTTTTTTTTTTAATTTTTAACTGACGTCGACATTAAATGTAAAAAAGTTCTTCAATAAACTACAGACGTCATGTTTAGGAACCCGTTGAGAAAATAAAAATTATCTTATCATCGAAAATAAGTAATCTTGTTCAATTATTAGTTTCTATTATCTCATTATTCTGGTTCCTCATTATTCACAAAGATTTTCGCAGATTTTCTAGAATTATTATTGAAAAGACATTTGAAGAATTTGAAGAAATCTGCGAATAAATTCAAAGAAAATTAGAAATTCAATATAAAAATAAAAACCAAATAATCGATTTGAGCGTTGATTTATTGACAAATTTCTGTTTAGAAATATGTTCCTAACCATCTAATTAGATTACTGAATAGTTTTTACTTTATTTTTCGTTGTCGTTATTTAATAGTTTAAAAAAAAACTAATTCTGAAAACGTATCCACCCCCAACGTAGGAGTTTTGAACGTCGAATTTGTGCTTAAACTCAGGATTTACAGATCTTTAAAAAGTTTAATATGTCTCAAATGAATCCGAAAGAAGCTTTCCACAACACTGCATACTCAATTCAACTACCTTACATAGCCGGTCACTACCTTTCAAGTTGCTTTTCTACTGTCAAGTTTCGTATGACACCCTGTATCCAAAATAGCTACCTTGGCTATTTTGTAAATGTTCCAAACCTTCAGAACAGATAATTAAATCCAATTTCTTAGATGGAAGTATCCGAGCCACAAAACCTCCCTCGTGCATTATTTACCGTGTTGCCGCAACATTCTCTTAAATCAAGTCGTCTTCGCTCTCACAGATGGTATACAGGTAAACCACTTTTACAAAAGTACTGCGATTAAACAACAACAACAACAACTAGCATATTTTTTTGTTAAAATGCCGTAATAAATTTTTGGGCTACCATATGCATTTTTAAATTAGAAATTGCATCCATCATATATTTATATGTAATTTCAAAATTTAAATCTTTATGTTTCAGTATATAATACAAAATCCGAGTTAATATTAAAAAATTAAAAATATTAAAAGATTACCGTTAAAAATGATCCTCCATAATAATGACTGTTTCCGATCTGCCTTTGTAGAGTAGATTATCTTTATTCCAATCATGTCATTTACAAAAATTATCAATCATTACTATGATTAAAAAACAAATCCAATCAAATAAGACTTCTCGGATTTTTTTCAAAAACGATCGTTCTTATAATTAAGCGATCATGTCGTTGTTTCGGTTCTTTTAAAGTTCAAATATAATGGTTCGTAAGTTGTAACTCAGCACGTTTTTAAAAAAAACAATTGACAAATCTAGTAACATGTAAATTGTCATTTTTGAGCCTGCAGCATGCGCCCGGCATCATGCTAACCGGAAAACATGCATCCCATTTTTATTCTAAAAACAGATTACCTGACCAATGAACCATACAATGAGATTTTTAAATATTTGATTTCATGTTTTTTTTTCATTCTGAGGGATAGTGCAGTCTGTACAAGTGCAAGAAAGTGGACAAAGTTTATTTTAAAATGAATCTGAGTTTAGTGTGCTTGAAATATTTGAAGGTTTTCAACTTTGTCTAAATAATAACATTTATACCAGATAAAAGATGTGCCACAATATTTATGTGACTTTACATGACAGTAGGACTGTCAGACTTTTTTTTCAAGCCGTTCGTTAATACTTAGTAAAAACCATAACATTTTTTTGACAGATTGCCGCTAGTTTTTTTAACTAAAAATGGAACACTCGTTTCGTTAACGGTATTTTCCGTTTAAGCTACCTTATTTGGAGACAACTCATTCAATAACATTAAAACATGTAAAAAAACGCGTGAAAAATCATCAAAACACGAAAAAATTGAAATGCTTTCAACAAATAAGCGTAAAAAACATCAAATGTATAGATTTAATAATTCAACAAATAAGCAAGGAAAACATCAGAAGTCGGTGTTAAGAAACATCAAAACACATAAAAAATCTTTTATTTTCTGCAAGTTGATGCAAATTAAATAGAAAAAAGGACGAAAATCACCGTTATTTTAAAACAACTATTTCTGTTAGTAAATTATTTTAAAATTAACGGAATTTTCCGTTCGTTAACGGACTCTTCCGTTCGTTAACGGACTCTTCCGTTCGTTAACGGACTCTTCCGTTCGATAACGGACTCTTCCGTAAATTTCTAAAACCTCCTTAGAACTTTGCCCAGTCCTTCTTTAAAGATTTTTATTTATCATTGAAATGTTTTCCGTAACCAATCAAATCTATTTCTATAAAGTAGTAGTCTACGTTTTCTGTTTAATTGTTTATATGTACGATCGAATACATAAACCCATATACTGATTTGTCACAAACTTTGATTAGGCAAAACTCGGTAGAACCATGTGAATGCTTTTAGCTTGAGTTAAAAGTTCTAAACTTTACTGAAAAACACTTTACTGTAGGCAAAACTGAGTTCCTATGTTAGTTTAAACAAAACAAAAATATTGGAAGTTTTATAACGTAAACAACAGTTAGCAGGTTAAAATCTGAAAGATTGGGATTTACTAATTTAGAAATATTGTAAACAAAACTTCTCCTGTGTTCAGTGTGGTAGAGGAGTATGGAGATCAGTAGAGGATCAGAACCTTGTGTTTCATGAGTCCGGGATATGGAAGGTTTCTATTATATATACTTTACATAAAGGAATTGAGTGTTAGCCACAAACTCTAGTTTTCTAATCTTATCTTTGCAACCCAATGTCGTAACTCGTAGACCCTAGATATTATTTATAATTATGAATTATTTCTAAGTTTGAAGCATCAAAGGTTTATATTATTATATCAAGCTGCAAACATATAGGAATTGGGACTCTAAATACTCAATTTCTTTTTAGTTTTACTCTGTACTATATTATTACTAAATTGGGCACCCCATTAAAATTCAAACTTCAAAGACGACCTATAATTTGTTAAATATAATAAAATATAAAGTAAACACATTTGTTGTTTAGGAACAGGTTGAGAAAATAAAAATCGACTCTTATTATCGAAAAAAAAAATAATCTTATTCAGTTATGTGTTTCTTTAATGTCTCATTATTCACAAAAAGTTTTCAGTAGATTTCCCGGGATTTTTATTGAAAAGAAGACATTTTGCAGAATTTGAAGAAATCTACGAACAAATTCGCAAAGAATAAGAAATTCATTATAATGATGAAAAAGAAATAAATTGATTCTAACATTGATTTATGGACAAAGGAATTGAGTCTTTTCCACAAACTCGAATTTTTAAACCTCAATATCATTTTAAGCTAATAGCGTAATCCTTTTATATTTCAAACTTAGACTATTTGATCTAACAGAATGCATACTTTGAAATATCTAAGATCTACGACATTTGGTTGAGAAGATATAAAAATTAGAAAGTAAGATTTTGTTGCCAAGAATCATTTCCTTTCTATTGAGAAATATGTGCCTAAACATCTATTTAGTTTACAGAAGAAATTTGTTTACATTTAATTTTTGTAGTCGTTATTTAATAATTTTTTTAAATTCAATTTTCAAAACGTAACCACCCAAAAAATGATTTTGAACGACGAATTTGCGCTCCAACTTAATAATTATACATCATCAACATGTTGTTGTTGTCTTAAATGAATCCTTAAAAAAAAAATCTCCACAATACTACATTCTCAGTTCAACTACTTACAAGTTACAATGCCGGACACTCCCTTTGAGAGAAAGTTGTTGTAGTTGTAATTTTAAGTGACCCTTTAATAATGTGGAAAATGTCATTGTTTTCTTACTTAATATGTGTTTAATTCTGACAATTTCCTCCATTGCTTTTGTACCAAGAATCCACAAGTCTTTTTATAAAGTAATCATAATGGAACATGATGGAATTTACCACTGTCGTTTCTGATAATGCGCAGGTATTGTTTGAAAATTGGACATTAGATAATGATGATCATATTGATAATCATGCAGATGTGACTGCAGTTTTATTGAACAGGATACAACCTTTGTATGATTCTAAATAATATACTCATAACTGTCAGAGTCCTGAAGCTTGAGTACACGACTCTGCCACAATGATCTTCGTTAACCTTGACATTTGATAAAATCTATGCTTAACCACTCCCCTCTAAACACTTCTTCAGCTAGCACTAATACCATGTGTGCCGTATGGCTTAAATGTCAAATAAGAATCAATTTTTAGGTTGTTATCAACGGTTCAGAGTTCATGAGTGAGGTTAGTTCGATCTGCCCTGCAGATATCAACAAGGAACAATCTTTTGTCAACAATGAGAGCAATAAAGTTGACATTAAATGTCTTTAATTGATGCATAAATAAATAGATTTAAAAAGTAAAAATTTAGGAATTTTTTTTTTTAATATTTTATTGACCATTTTTGTGATGCGAGTTGATGTGAGTTTTTCTTTACTCAGGTTGGACCCATAGGTTCTGGAACGGAACTGACTAGAACATGTTTCAGTGTTTAATTAATCTGTATCTGAGTGAGTTAACTTGATAGTTAGTGAGACTCAGCAAAGGCTCCATTGTAGCAAGCGCAGGCAGAAGGAAGCTTGAAAGCCTCAATGGCAAAGGGGAAATACTGATCATAGGGATCGAAGGTGAGGAATCTGTGGTAGATGCTCTTCTGGAGACATTTGGTCTCGTAGCAGGGGGCAACAAGGGGGCAGGACTCTCCGGCAGTAGTGCACTCCTCAATTCTGAATGAAATAACATTTAAGTAAAGTAAAGGGGACATTTATTCCATAGAACTATTAATTAGATAGTGCACCTGGCGGTCTGGGTAAGGGTCTCGTAGTGGGCCTTTACTCCGTTGACAACAATTCTCCATTTTCCATCAGTGTTCACGGCTCGGAGGGGCTAAAATACAGTGAATTTTAACCAATTCAAATTTTAAAAAGATTGTTGTGAGGGCCTGGTTTATAAGTTTATAATACCTGGATGTAAGCTGTGACTGAAGGGCAGATGTAAGTTTCCTGAACGATCTCATTAAGACGATCAATGCTGTTGTCAGTGTTAGCAAGAACATCCTAAACAAATTAATTTAGAATACTAGTTGACTGATGAACTTATGTGAGTATTGATCACATGTTAATAATTGCTTACCTTGTACAGAGTTTGGACTCCATCGTAATGGTATTGCAGAGCAGCTTCAATCTCGTACTTGGGATACTCCTTATCCTCGAGACACCAGGTCTTAGGGTTATCCTAAATATTTATTTTTCTTCTGATAAGGCTGGTTAAATTATCCAAAGTACATTTATGAAATGCTTTATGCTGTAATCAATAAATTCATGCTTGTCAACACCATGAAGTATCAAACCATTATTGCGGTTATAATCAGACCAATTAAGTAGTACTGAGCTGAAAACATTAGAATGGTATTTACTTAATCCCGATAAGTTAATTAATCTACTATTTTGCTCAATTTAAACTACTGAAAACTTTAGAATGTGATATCCTTAATCCCGATCTGTTCATTAATCTGGAGATTAAATTCATGAGGAAAACAAGCAATATTTTATCTGGAGATTAAGAAAAAGAGTGGATCAAGCATTAATCCCGGTATCCACCATTCTAAAGTTTCCAGCTCTGGAGATTAATGAAAGGAGAAGAACAAGCATTCATTTAATCTGGAGATTAAAAAAGAGTTGATAAATCATTAATCCCGATATCCACAATTCAAAAGTTCCAAGCTCAGATTATATTTTTGTAAATAAGAAAAATAATTACCACAGAGCAGTAGGGGGGTTTGTAGTGATCAACAGGGGCAGGAGTGTGATAAGGGGCGGGGGCATGGTGGGCAGGGGCGTGATGGGGAGGAGCATGGTGGACAGGAGCATGATGAGGAGCTCCATAAGGAGCAGGGGTAGGAGTGTAACCATAGGCGGGTTCATGGTAGGCGGGCTCAGCGTAGGCCGGGGCATGGTGAGGGGCTTCGTGATAAACTGGAGCCTCATGACCATAGGCAGGAGTCACATGGTAGGCAGGCTCAGGTGCATAAGGAGCAGGGGCTGGTGTATATCCATAAGGAGCTGGATGGTGAGGGGCAGGGTGATGAACGGGTCCACTGCAGTGTACAGCGGACACAGCGAGGGCTGCAACCTGAAATAATTGAAAATTGAATTGATATAATCATAATCAAAATTTGAGATGAATATGTTATGATCAGCTTTGCGCGAAAATGTAATCAAGTGCGAAAAGTAAATCCAGCAGACGTAGCTTGGTATAAATATATACGCGGCAGTCACGCTTCAGCAATAATATTTATAATAATCGAACCAATTTTGTTTACAGCTATTCACCCCATTGTCTTGTAATTGGAATGTTCACGCAACATTAATTCTATTCTAGTCTGTATTTTGTTTTTAATATAACTTAGAGCATGAACCTATTATATGGGACATCTTGAAACTAAATACCAACAAATAATCGAACAGATAATTCTTTTGTTTATAAAATAAAGCTCTTCCTTCATATTTATGTGTATATATAAAATCATAATTTAATACAAAGCGAGTGAAGACGTTGAGGGTTCTTATGACTATGAATAATAATAGACCTAGGCAACCCTACTCCAGCTATAGTACATAGCTAGATATTAGCGTATTGATATATATGAGTGCACATAGAAAATTTTAAATTTGCACCTAGCATTTATAAGAATGTCATTAATTTTGAATTTATATTGTATGATCAGAAGGATTTAAATCTTGTTCACCCCCCCCCCCCTCAAAGCAAGGTGGTTTTAATCTCTAGTTGCAAGAAGACCCTTTTAAAGCTCAAGTATGCAAGGCTAAACAAAGCACGAGTTTTAAATTTAAGCCCCCCTCCCCTCCCCGCTCTTTTCACATCTATATTTCCGCTTAATCCCCCCCCTCATCCATATTTTAGCTATATCACCTCCCCCTCCATACTTTTCATCTAAATCCAAACCATATTTCCACCATACCCCCCCCCCTTCTCTCAGCCACCCACTCCCCATAAAATTTGTAACACTATCATGATGGCTGATAATATCTAGTTGAAGGAAATGAGTAAATCTGTTATATAACCTAATATTTATTATATCAATAATCCAACAGATAACAACAGATGGCGTGAGACGTAAATTTTAAACTTTTATTAGAACTCAAGTCTAATCATTTGATGATGATGGTGTCCCAATTTTAAATCAACGACTCCTTGCAGGGACAGTATGTACTCATTGTATGTCCCAATTGAAGGAGAGTGTGTCCCATTTTGTATGTACATTAATAGATTTGTATTTTTAAAGAAATAGATAGATAAACATAATAAATTATAATTGTTGAAAATTCTGCAAAATTAGCATCCTGGTGTTTAATTTTGCCACAGATCAATCTTTTCATTTTATCATTTAAATCATTTAATTTGCTGTCATTATTTCATGTTTACAGATACATTGACGCATATTTAGACAAATATTCGCGTCAATGATTTATATTATTAATAATTACATTTTTCTATTTTTTCTCAGAATCATGATAATGATAAGCTTATTACATTTTCAACACAATAATATCATATGCTATAGTGAGGCCCAAAAATATCACTTTTGCACCAAATACAATGAAAATTGGAAAACTATGTAATATGAAGACGACAGCATAGCAATATTTAAGATAATTTGATGTTGTTATATGGTTATTAGTTTTACCAGTATATATAACTTTTATATCACTTATAACGGACAACAGCAATGTCTCATGATTATTTATTAGACTATTTAAAACTAGATTCTAAAAGTCGTCTTTCTATTCCAGAGTTTTTTTAGTTTTCATCGTTTTACGTGAATGAATTTTTTTCAAAGTTGAAAAAGATCTTTATGTTGAGAACGTTGCTGTAATGAATAAGTAAACTGATCAACTGTTATAAAAAAAGAAGTTACAAATGAAATCACATTAAAAAAAATATTAAATATTTAAGTTTTGATTGATTGGTGATAGACAAATTGTTCATAAAAATTCAAAAATATGCATACAGTTTAAACAGCTGAAAAGATAATAATTTAAAATNGAAAGAAAGAAAGAAAGAAAGAAAGAAAGAAAGAAAGAAAGAAAGAAAGAAAGAAAGAAAGAAAGAAAGAAAGAAAGAAAGAAAGAAGAAGACAAGAATGAACAGGATAGGACAATAGAAAGAAAGAAAAGGAAAAGGAGATAACAAAGAAAGAAAGAAAAAAAGAAAGAAAGAAATAAAGAAAGAAAGAAAGAAAGAAAGAAAGAAAGAAAGAAAGAAAGAAAGAAAAAAAGAATGAAAGAACGAAAGAAAGAAAGAACGAAAGAAAGAAAGAAAACAAAGAAAAAAAGGTTCAAAAACATGAATTCTTTATTATTTGTAAGCGGAAGCTAGAGGATTGATAAGCTAGCAGAGTAAGAAGATGAACTACGGGGGGTGAAGGAATTGAAAAGATAGGTATACGTTGTCTGGGTTGGGTTGCGATAAATTAGGAGTGGAACTCAGTAGGGGGGGAGCTCCGTATATTCAGAGGGGGGGGCAAAGTATGGGATGGGTCTAAGTACATAGGAAGGTGTGAGAGAAGGTATAGAGGAATATATGAATGCAATTAATCAATCACAAAATCTATTTCCTAAACCCCTTATCTGGTCCCTGTTGTGTATCTTCCTTAGTTCATATCTCTAAAGAAGATTATAAAGGAATTGAGTCTTTGCCACAAACTCAAATTTGATAATCCGCATGTCTTAGCAACCCGATGGTGTAAACATTTGATATTTCAAACTTATTTAATTCGATTTAATATAATTAATAATTAGAAATATCAAAGGTCTACAAAATTGGGTTTACAAACCTCGGGTTTACAAAATAAGAGTTTGTGGCAAGAACTCAGCTTAGATGAAAATATGTACCGTATTTTCTGGGAAGAAAAATAAACAAACTTTTTCCTCCCAGAATCTGCAGTACACTTCCAATGTAAACATAAAGGTTCTTTTTTTTCTTTTCAAACATCAATTGCAATCAAGAGATATTTAAGAAGAAATAAATAGAGCAGACGGAGATTGGAGATGAAATATGCACACCACATGGTCTAAGGTTAATGAATATCTATCTATCTATCTATATATTTCCGATGATACCGGAAGCAAATTTTATAATAATATCTATAAGTGAATTGTTATCCTTGTGTACACTGTTTTATAAACAATAATATTCAAAATTGTTCAATGTAGATTTACTTGATACAATTATGTTTAAATATCTTGTTTGGAAATTAAGCAATTCGACATTGAAACAATAAAACAGATATTTACAGGAGGCACAAGAGAGTTTAATACCAAAGAACAACGATTAATTTAAAAATAGATAAAATAAAACTCACACTAAACTAAGGTCTAAATTTTATATTAAATAAGTTCAAGGATACAAAACGACAAAAACGATTTAAAGAAAGATTTATATGAACTTTTTAAGCAATGTATTCTTTTATTTTTTGCATCGATTTTCATACTTAAATGCAGGTATATATATATATATATATATATAAATATTTATATATCATGTATAGTGAAATATTAAAACCAAATTATAGAATTCAGACCTAAACCAAACCAATCAGGATGCATGCAACAAATATGATTTAATTTAAAATTAACGGATTTATTTATCTTTTTATGCCCCCCCCCCCTCCCTCCTCCTCTTCGACACGAAAAAGTTGGATTTAATTAAACCATAAATCCAAAGAAGCAGCAAAATGTATACAAAATATTCAAATATAAAATTCTTTTTAAAACATTTTAAAAAAAATTGAGACATTTCAAACACATGTTCAAGTATATTAAATTCCTAATAAATTGCACGCTATGCACCTCAGGCGGGCAGAGGTGCGGAAAAAAGTCCCAAATTACAAATTAATCGAATTTTTTCCTGGATTTGTTCAAACCAAATCATTAATCATAAATAAGTAATAAGTGCACCCTGATTAGTTATAACAACCAGTTTTGCAAAATCGATTTATTTTTAAAATGAAAAATGTACATTTTGATAGCAGAATTAAAATTTGTTTAAAGTAATTTACTTAAATCATTTGTAAATGCAAATTTTATAATTTTTTTATTAATATTTACAAATGCATCTTTAAACCAATTTAAGCTGGGAACCAACGCATTTTTATTGCACAACGATAATTAGCAAAATTTTAGCAATCTTCAAATTGTGAACGTTGTTATCGTCTATAGATATCGACTACTAATTCATCAACTTGGGTTCAGGTGTGTTTTTTAAAATGACCGCCTACTTTTTCTTAGATTCGAAAATTTAAGGATACTAATTGTTAATCGTTGATCGTATTATCAGATTAATAATTAATAAATAATGGGTTTATAGTGCTAAAATTATCTTTAATTACGTTAATTCAGTATACGACTTTTTCAATAAGATTTTAAATTATAGCATTAACTTCTTATAATTAAAAGCCAATTATAGAGTTTGCATAAGTGAGTTGGATTTGATTTAAACTATTTTCACAACTTCAAAAAATTCCATTTTTAGAAAAAAAAAGAATCTTAAAAATGTTTTTGTTAACCCAATGAAACCCATGGGTTTCCTAAAAATCCGCCAATATTATCCGTTTGACCAGTAATGGCTATCATATATATATATATGTATTATAGTTTTCTGATCCATATATCTAACAAACTCATGCTCTATTATAATCTTTTTTATATTCTTTTTAATACATCAAGCTTCTACAACATAGGCTTGCAAAGATATAGGGAAAATAAAATTAGAGTTTGCGGCGAATACAAATAACTTATAGTATTCTTCTAATATATGATTATGCAAAACAAAAAAATTTAATTTTGAAAGCATGAAAAAAATATTCAATTCCATTAAAAACTTGAGTCAAAAATATGGTTCAAAAATATTTGTTTGATTTGTTTTAAACTTACAATGAATCTACTGGCCATGTTGGTCTAGGTCCGGCCTGGGTAAAGGAAAACTCTCAACTGAAGTCTACTGACGCATCTACCAATATATATAGATATCTACACACAGTATAGAACAACCAAACCACACCTAAACAAACACACACAATACGGACATAAATCCCTCTTACAGTTCGATCACAACACACAACACAATACATCTTAGATGCTCTTTCAAACCGATCGTACATACATCATTATTAAAAATCATTAAACAAACAAAGTTTAACAATTTTCGCCAAATTTATCCAATACTAGTTTGGGAACCCATGCGATGCCCGGGTCACTCATAATTACTCCCACCGTTTACCCGCGCTTGGTCGTAAATTACGATGTTAGCTATTTCTCCCATAAAAGTTGACCCACTCAACTTAGAATCTCAAAACCAAGCTATAGAACATACCTGTTGTTCTCCCGAGTCCCTAATCAAAGCATTTGAGGCAAATCAGTCAAGGGGTTCATGAGTTATGATCGTCCATACAAACTGACAGACAAACCATGATTAAAACTATATATATATTTATTTATCCAATATATAAAAATAGAAAAGAAATGTTCGCTCTTGAATGATAAATTAAGTTTGATTCAATAATGCAAATAATCTTTTTTTTTAAATAATTCAATTTTTCATGAGAGGTGAACAAAATGAATGAATTGTTGAGGATTCTTTAACATTTCCTCTAAAGTTTTCATCCAAATGCTACACTCCTGTATGCCGAGTCCATTATTGCCTGATCCAATCTGGGTTCAGTCATGTGTTTGGTGTCTATTATGAACAAATAGAAATAGTATGGCGGTAACATCTATCTTTCTATCTATCTGATTATCCAATGAATCCTGCAATAGGCTCTATCAGTAAATGGAAATATTTGTTTCTACTAAAACTATAGTGGTTAGGTAAAAAATATGTATCTCGAGTTAGCCTTCCGCCAATGAATCTAAAGAACTACTTTTTAAGCTTAAATTCATAAATTCCCAATTCACTTTTTTTCTAGTTTATTGACAGTTTATTATTGTAAAAGTTTTTCATCAATAAGAGAATTTATGTATTTAAGAAGTTTAGATTTCTCCAAATAAAGAGTTCCCCCCCCCTTCCAACCCTTATCCAGTTTGAATAAAAGACACATGTAAAATAGCCAAAAAGTCTAACTAAAGCAAATGGTCTAAAGTTTACTTGTTTGAAATCCCTTAAAAAATGGACAATTATACATGTTCTAAATTCAAATATGTCTCAAAATCAAAAATAGAATTGGTGCTTATGATTCTTAAAATTAGGTTAGCATATATGAACTTGCATTGAGGTTTGCACTTCAATTTTTCAAAATCGGACCTTTTCAAATTGGTTTGATTAACCATTTTCTCTTCCCGGACATTCAGGTTTTCTTATTCTTCAAAAATGTGTTTTTTTCTTACACTAAACATTTTTGTCTTTGCCACAAACTCTAATTTTGTATAACTCCTATATATTTGCAACCCAAGCTAAGGTCGTAACTAAACCTTAAATATTTCAAACTATAAATTCTGGTAAATTAGAAAATTTAAGTTTGAAATATCAATGATAGTGAGAAGTAATTGATCTACCGGACTAAGTTGAACTCGTGAGAAGTAATTGATCTACATGACTAAGTTGAATTATTGAGAAGTAATTGATCTACCGGACTAAGTTGAACTATTGAGAAGTAATTGATCTACCAGACTAAGTTGAACTATTGAGAAGTAATTGATCTACCGGACTAAGTTGAACTAAAGTAATTAATCTACAGGACTAACTTGAACTAAAGTAATTGATCTACTGGACTAAGTTGAACTATTAAGAAGTAATTGATCTACTGGACTAAGTTGAACTAAAGTAATTAATCTACCGGACTAAGTTGAACTAAAGTAAGTGATCTAACGGACTAAGTTGAACTCGTGAGAAGTAATTGATCTACCGGACTAAGTTGAACTAAAGTATAAATTGATCTACCGGACTAAGTTGAACTAAAGTAATTGATCTACCGGACTAAGTTGAACTAAAGTAATTGATCTACCGGTCTAAGTTAAACTAAAGTAATTGATCTACCGGACTAAGTTGAACTACTAATGAGAAGTAATTGATCTACCGGACAAAGTTGAACTAAAGTAATTGATCTACCGGTCTAAGTTAAACTAAAGTAATTGATCTACCGGACTAAGTTAAACTACTAATGAGAAGTAATTGATCTACCGGACTAAGTTGAAGAAAAGTAATTGATCTACCGGTCTAAGTTGAACTACTAATGAGAAGTAATTGATCTACCTGACTAAGTTGAACTAAAGTAATTGATCTACAGGACTAGGTTGAACTGCTTCTCTTAAACTTAACCAGCCCACAAGAGAGTGTTGTTTAATCATTAGTTGTAATTCTTAAAATTTTGTATAAGAAAGTCCAATCTAATGTTAAAAAATATGGCTGAATTGGCATAAGAAAAGATAAAGGAAAAAATATAAAAAAATACATATTTTAATAATCTGTGTCTGTTTTTTTACTTTGAATGTATTTGATAACCTGGAAATAAAAATTGTTACCGAATTATATAATTGAATTAAACCACAAATAAGCAAGAGAGCTTTGAACTCAATTAATTACTGCTATGCAATTACTTTATTATTCTATGTTGTAAGTCCCATGCAATAAAGTAGTTTTTGGCAGGTTGTTATACCAAGCTTGCCATTTTAAAGATTATTATGCTTCAAGAGCGCTTTACGGCATTTTTTCTTCTAATTTTTTTTCCTTTAAATGTTAGCTTTAATGGCAACCAAAAAATAATAATTTATAATTTCGTAGATTTTTTCGGTTTGTATTGACAAATTGTCAAAAATAACTTAATTTCTGGGGATTCGAATTTTTGCCACAAACTCATATTACGTAATCCCTAAATCTTTTCAACCAGATGGTGTAAACTCCTTTCTTTGGGTCCGATCGGATTAGCTGTTTTGACGTTTATTGGATACATGCTCTAAAAAAACAATGGTTGAAGACCAGTGAAATTATATTTAAACATTTTTGACATGAAAAGTTGTCTCAAACAATCATTAAAAAATAAACATCTATTATAACCAAACACTGTTTTATTTCAAAGACACACTGTACAGTGACTGTACACCCTGTAGTAGATTTAGCGCAAAATTCCCTTTCACAAACCAAAGAGAATCCAACTTAATTCAAATTTGCAAGAATAAAATAAAAAATGAATATTGTTAAAATGTTATAATAGAATAAAATAACTAAACTAAGCAGGATGATTATCAGAAATAATAAGTGAGTGAGAAATATTTGATATTTAGTCGCAAGATTCAGTTCAGGGGCGACAATGGTAGCCCCCCCCCCCCCCCCCCCTCTAAAAATGATTTTTTTTCCCGCTCTGAACCCCCCCCCCCCCCCAGCTACCCCCCTCAAAATGGCCCCTGGCATTAAAGATTCTGTGTACGCCCCTGAGCTTGTCATGGTTTGAATGTAAGACACTGAAGTTGTTAGATTCATAATATTTAATGATCTTGTATTTCTAAGTATTATTATTATTATTATTTGCATCATTAAACGAATCATAGTTTTAGATTGAGCTTTATAACTAAACCATACTCAGTGGGCTTTAACTTTTATTGTAAGGCATAAATTTAAATCACTTTAGAAATTCAAAAGAAACTAGTTTTAATAATCTATATTATAAAATTAGTAAGAAAGAGTTAAACGACGCCTGAACTAGATTGAAGAGAAGTAATTAAATAAATTGATTCATCTTATAGACCACGCGAAAACACTTGTTAAATCTGATCCAAACGATTTTTCAAATCAATTGTTAACGAACGATTAACACACTGCTGAAGATGGACCAGATCAGGTTTTAAGTCAAAACATCTAAATTTTTTCATTTGAATATATTAATATGCAGTCTCTTGACTTATATTCTCAATTTTCAGAAAATACCATCAAGGAAATTTAAAGTAAATCTATCTTAAAGAAATTGTAGAAATCTAGTGCATTTTCAGGTCTAAACTCAAACGTAACTGTAGTTTCAAGGATCAAATCATGCTTATTCTGTGATTTTTTTTTGCGAAATTTTTAGAACCGTTAATTTTGTGAATTTTCTTTAACAGTCATAAACAGTCAAACTGTTTAATAGTCATTAACAGTCAAACGCTGTATAATTGCCTAATTACTGCTTAAAAAGTCTTTTTAAAGAAAAATCAGTAAAATAAGCAAGCAGACGTTTTTCGGACCGTATTTTGACAGTCAGGCTTAGGGGTTTGATTTTTTTGCTTTTGCTACAATATGTTTCATGGCTGTTAAAGAAAAAAAATGTGTAGACAATGCCATATACGTAAAAATATATGGAAAAAACCAGAAGAAGCAGATTAAAGTCTTGAAATAAAATTTTCATTTCATTTTTCGACCTGGGAATGCTCTTGATTTCTACAATTTCTTTAAAATTAATTTGCTCAAAATCCCCCAGTACACTGCATATAGATTTATTCAAAAGAAAAACTTTAGGTGTTTGTTTTGATGGTTCATTTTCAGCAGACAACAGACACCCAAACAGACAAGCAAAGTATATATATATACAGAAGTAAACCTTTAAACAGTAATTATGCACACATTTTCTAGGTGACATTTTCTTAAAAGTTATTAGTATAAAATTGTCAACTCAGAGTTGGGGGCTATATGAGGCTCATCCCCCCATGCACCCCCCCCCCTACCCAAGTAAAATCTATGATTTCCAGGGGGTGTTCTGGTCCAAACGAGGACTTATCACCCCTTAAAAATGTCTTCTCTCTATATATTCAATATACTTAAACAAAAACAAGCAATTTTTTCACTCTAAATAGTAATTGGCATGTTTTTTCTGTGTGTTCTGAAATAAAAAAAAACAACTTTAAGTTCACATCAATTAACTTATTATTACAGTTTGACTTATTAAGTTATTTAATACAAATATTGTTAAAATATCAAAAACTGTTTGTGTGATGTTTGAGGGAGGGGCTTATAGTTTAACTTTAACCTTTGATTATCTAATGAC